CCGAGGGCCAGCCCGCCTTCAAATATGAAGACCGACAATCGCGCTCACCAGCCCGTCCGGCATCGTCTCTGCCGGCCACCTGCAGCCGCCTCGTATTAATGCGCGCAAACGAAACGCCTGTAGACACACATGCAGCATCAACGCATGCGAAGGGGCCCAAGGCCAGCTGAAGATAAAGCACGCCGCCGAAAAATAACAGAGGCTCGGATCTTTCGCCAAGTATTGGTCGGTACCTTGGCAGCTGGGGCCAAGGCCATCGGGAGTGAAACAAACTTTCTCTCAGCTGGCTTTCGAGCCCTTTTTTTCTTCCTCTTTCCGAGCCCAACCGACGATGGGCAAATTGATCGCTGCCTGGCCGACATCACAACACACCCATGCAGTCCAACAAAAAAACCGATGCAGCCACCACGCAATCAGGAGGCTGAGTGTGTGCCTGAAGGAACCTCGCTTCCCGCCCGCGCATCTCGTAATCTCCCCATTCCGACTGGTCGGATTACCTGCTGCAGCGCAGCACTCTCGGCCACCCCCTGAAAAAGGGCCGCCCGCTAGGCCAGGCGGTTCGGTGCGATTGCCAGTTCACCATCACAATGCACCACCACCGCCGCCACCGCTCCGGCGAGCCGCTCAAACCCTCCAGTCCCTCCCCCACCCCCAGTAGTGTGACGTCCCGCGTGCGTGGCGGCTCGGCAGGGCACTACCGGCCATTCAAGGCGGGCTGCCGTCCATTGATCGCCTTGGTGGCGTCAGCCTCCCTCTTCCGCGTGGGGCCGGAACGGTCTCCGTTGGTCGCGTAGGGGTGGACGACAAACACGTCGGTTTTGCGTGGCAGCGATAGTATCAAACGGCTGTGTGTTCAGTCAGCCACGGCGTTCCGCTTGGAGACGACCAACCTCCTTCCCATTTCCGGCCGTTGACGACCCAATCCGGCAGCAGTATTGACAGGGGTATCGGGCGGCCGGTTCGGGTTTCTGGGTTTGCCCTTTGTCGGGACTTTTTTTCTTGAGAGAAGACGCCTAGGGGCTACGCTTTGTCCAGGGCCCAGGGGTGCCGACGGGCTAGCTGCCAAGCGCCCGTTTCCTCCAAGGGAGGGCGAGCCATGCGGCTGAGGCATGGCCAAGCTTGATATGCCACCACGCCGGAGCTCCGGCACTTTCAGCATGCTCGATACTCAACATGCAGCTGTGCTTCACGCAGGTCGTGTTATCGAACGTCGAGACGCCACCGGCATGAGCGATGGCGACTAGTCGAGCTGATGTCGGCTCACCTTCGTTCTGCGGTGCCCCATGCGCTGTTCGGAGGAGGACCGGTGGGATGTCTTACCCCCACGGCCTCGCCCCGTTCGACCCGTTTCCTCTGACTCGAGACACCTGCTGCTCTTTTTTCTTGGAAGCTTCCTCGTTCCATCTCTGCGGGTTTCCTTTCCTCTTACTTGGGTTTCGTTGACGAGAGCTTCACCTTGCTTGGGCACCCCTGTCAAACACCATCCCTTCTCTTCAACATGGAAGGAGAAAAGAACCGTCTCTCTCCTGGAGAGATCCAGGAGATAGTCCAGATAACCCCCAGGCAGAGCCAGAGGGCCTCGACCAGCGACAACTCCATCCAGTCCTTGGGCATGCAGTCCGTCCAGATCAGTACCCCCTCAGGGGCGGGTCGGCAGTCCTTGATGCCTGGACAGTCTGCCTTCAGTCGCCCCGTCTCTGTTCATGGAAGCAGCAACAGCCGTCACAGCCGCGCCAGCATGGCTCTCCGGACAGACGTCATCGCCGAAGGCATCTGGCAGGAGCAGCTGAGGAGGCAGTGGGCGTCTTACAGCCCGTTTGAGGGCATCGTCATCAAGAAGTCTCGGGGTGACTTTGTTTGCGCCCCGGCAATCATCAGGAATCACCGCGATAGCCTATTTGACATGGTCACCCAGCTCAACGTCACGGTAAGCGATCTTCCTCTCGTCAACTGCCGTCACACCTTGCTTACATTACCAGGCTGCTCTCACCCTCAGGACATCGACCGTCGAGTCCATCATCAGGGCCCTGTCCTCCACCGGCGAGGTGAGCTACATGCCTTTCGCCGATGGCAGAAAGCTGCAGGTGCTCCCCCGGCTCTTGGATTTGCCCAAGTGTCACAAGCATCACTTTGCCGCCTTCATCATCGAGCCCCCCTTGCTCGTCGTGTGGGAAGATGATGCCAAGAAAATCCTCGCGCGCGCAGCGAAGCTCGAGGACGACATTATTAAGAACATCTGGGGCGACAACGACGGGTTCGATGAGGACGAGGACGAGAAGGGCCCTCCAGAGGTGTCAGTGGACGAGCTTGATCCGACGCAGCTGGAATCAGCCCAGGAGAACCGGCCCACGCGACTGACCAGCTCCATCATGGTCGGTCTGACCCTTGCGTTGTCAATCGCATGTCTTGGCCTAGGATGGAGACTACTCGCCATGCAGACGACAGTGGATGGGGATTACACGAGACTCGCCCTGGTCGCTGTTGCCCCTCTGACAATCTTCATCAGCCTGGTACGTCAAGTCCCCCCGTCCGTCGCGCCAGCCACTGATCTAACACCCCCAGTTCTTCTTCCTCAGCATCATCACCGACATCTTCCAAGTCGCCGGACCCGTATCCTCCATCCTCCAAAACTCCAAAAACTACTCCGGCAAACCACCTGTCCGCTTGAACAGAGCTGCCGGAGACCTTCCTCATGTCACGATCCAAATGCCCGTCTACAAAGAAGGTCTCGGACCCGTCATCAAGCCAACAGTCCTCTCTCTCAAGGCAGCCATTTCGACCTACGAAATGCAAGGTGGCACCGCAAATATCTTCGTCAACGACGACGGGATGCAGCTCATCCCCGAAAAAGACGCCGACGCCCGTCGCGAGTTCTACGAAGAGCACAGCATCGGCTGGGTCGCCCGGCCGCGGAACAACCCCGATGCTCAAGCCCCTGAGGTGCCCTTCATCCGCCGCGGACGCTTCAAGAAGGCGTCCAACATGAACTACGGGCTTCGCTTCTCCAACCGCATCGAGCAGCGTCTTGCTGAGGTGCATCGCCCTGCCGGCTGGAACCAGGATGCCGAGAGCGCCGCCTATACCCGTGCAATGCGTGAGGTCCTCGACGAAGATGCCGGTCGGACCTAGGCGGGTGGCAACGTGCGTATCGGCGATTACATCCTCTTGATTGATTCGGACACCCGCGTCCCTGCCGATTGCCTGCTCGACGCTGTGAGTGAGATGGACCAGTCTCCTGAAGTCACAATGCTGACCATAATTCTTTACCAGCGTCACCTGGTTCACCAACCTCATCTACACAGCCATCACATTCTCCGTTGCCCAGGGAGATATCCCGCCCTTCGTCGGCCACAACGCCGTGCTGCGCTGGTCCGCTATCCAAGACGCCGCGTCCTACGAATGCAAAGACGATGGTTTCGAGAAGTTCTGGTCCGAATCACACGTGTCCGAGGACTTTGACATGGCTCTCCGTCTGCAAACATCCGGCTATTCCCTCCGCTTTGCCGCCTATACCAAGGGCGGGTTCAAGGAGGGGGTCTCTCTCACCGTCTACGATGAGCTTGCCCGGTGGGAGAAGTACGCCTATGGTGTCAACGAACTCATCTTCCACCCCTTCCGCTTCTGGGTCGTCCGCGGTCCCTTCACCCCGCTCTTCAGGCGGTTCATCTTCTCCGACATCAAGTTCTTCCGCAAGATTACTATCCTCGGTTTGTCTGCCCCGCGATTGGTAAAAATGGTGAAAAGTACCTGACCCTCAAATCGACAGGTTACATCGGAACGTACTATGCTATTGGCATCTCCTGGGTCTTGAGCTTGGCCAACTACTTCCTGACGGGATGGATTTTCCCCGTGCTCGATCAGTACTACCTTGACTCCTTCGCCGTCTACTTCTCCATCATCATCGTATTCCCGTTGGCCGGAAACTTCGCTTTGGCAGTCCTTCGTTACAGGATAGGAGAGCAATCCTTCCTCCGCGCCCGTAAGATCCCCTGACTCCCCGTCGACCGCTCTCCTTCGCTCGCATTCGGACGCCCTTCAACTTTTGCCCTGCTGACCACTTCCAGTCATCAACAACTTCAAATGGGTCCCCCTTTTCTCCATCTTCCTCGGCGGTCTATCCCTGCACATCTCCAAAGCTCTCCTCTGCCACTTCTTCGAACTCGACATCCAATGGGGCGCCACATCCAAGGAGGTCGAGCGCTGTAACTTCCTCGAAGAGATCCCCAAGATCGCAAAGAGTTTCTGGGGCACATTTCTCTACTGCTTCATCATGACCGCTTTGATGATCTGCGGCTACTTTGTCTTCCCGCGCGACTGGCGGATCACAGACTTTGTCTCCATCTACCCCCTGGCAGCAGTCACCGCGTCGCACTTTGCTTTGCCAGTTCTTCTGAACCCGGCGCTGATGAAGTTTACTTTCTAATTGTTGGGATTTCGGACGGTGTTTCTTGGTAACTCAAATGGATTATAATAGTACTGGAACTTGGTCAGGTAGAATTGGGAAGGCGTAATGGGTCTGTTCTCACACATATAGGCTCGGGCTAGATGGAAGTTAGGTAGACTTGGATGACTTCTCGGGCTATATGTAGGGTTAAAGATGTCTTGCTACACTAAAGCGGTGATGGATCCTAGGGACTTCCCATCACGGCGAATAATATGACTCTTCATCAAACCGGACGTGTTGTCAACCACCGTGAATGGTCTTTGTCGCGCATGTCCAGCAGCGCCCTCAGCCCAGCATCCCCCATGCCAGTGCCACTGGGTAGCTTCACCTTGAAGTCAACCGGGAGGTCATCGTCGACTTACTCCAACGTTTTCCGCAGTCCTTTTCTGGAGTTCCCAACACCACCCGCCAACAATCTTCGAAGCCACGTCGGCAGGGACCCCCTTTTTTCGCAATGGAGCCACCATCCTCAAGACCCACGCCCCCTTCTTCGCCCACAGCCTATCCACAACCGTGAGTCAAGGCCTCTCAGATTCTCAGCGACCAATATCCAAAAGGTCGCTTAACTCAGTTGGTTAGAGTGTCGTACTAATACTCCGGTGTTCCCACCGACATTTGAAATGCGAAAGTCGCCAGTTCGATCCTGGTAGTGACCATCGAATTACTTTTTGCCTCCCTCGGACTTCCTTTTTGACTACAGAAATGATCCTAGGTCTGATCATGATGGCGGTGACAATCAAGTGGCCGGGCGGGCTTCGTCCTTGACATGATGCTCATCTTCGGTGCTGCAAGAAGCCGGACCATCCCAAGGGTTGCGACCAGCATCCATGCACGATCGTTGCTGGCAGAGTCAATCGCGAGATCAAAGATGACGCCAAATCAATCCCATTATACAACTAAACAACATGTACGTAAATCATGCCTCGTTAATGCACCATCCCCTCACTCTCAGAAGCTCAGGAGCATCGCCGCGAAAAGCGCAGCAGCAACAACACCCATAGTCTGGACGACAACCCCGCTGGCAGCGTTGCCTCCGTCGGTCGTGCCGCTCTGGCTGGGCTGGACAAGAGTACCCTCCTCCTCCGAAGTGGGGGTGCCCGACTGGCGCTCGAGAATGAAGATCTCGCCGGTCGAGTCCGAAGTGACGAAGAGGCGGTCCTTGGAGTCCCAGGCAAGACCGACGGGACGGAAGCAGTTGTCGGGGCACTCGTCGGTGCTGCGCATGTACACGATATCGGTGAGCGATGTGGTGGAGTTGCGGGGCTCGACGGGCTCGCCGTTGCTGAACTCGACGGTGGAGAGCTTGTAGCCGTGGGGGTCTTCGCGGTTGACTGGGACATGTTAGTGATGGCAGGAGTCAATTGGGAGGTGACTCTTACAGCTGCCGTGGAAGGAGACGAAGAGCTCCTCGCCATCCTTGCTGAAGCGGGCGTCGAGGGGCGCGTAGTGGGCAGGGAAGGCCAGGCGGGGGCTGTGGTACTCGGTGTTGCAAATGTCGTCGGTCAGGGTGCTGTTGATGTCGGAGGCGAACTGGTCGCCGACCTGGAGGCCGTCGTGGTTGGGGATGTCATCAGCGTCCCAGACGGCGAAGCACATGGGGTAGCCGTAGTTGCGGGGGCTGCTGTCGGTGGCGTTCTCGATGGTGCTGTGGAGGTTGAGCTCCTCGCCGGGGTTGTCCTCCTTGATGAGCTGGCCGTCACGCTCGACGTCGTCGACCGAGTTCTCGACCGAGTAGATGTTGCCGGTGACGGGGTCCTCGGCGACACCGACCGAGTTGCGCAGGCCCCAACCGAGGACGACGCCGTCGAGGAACTGGATGGGGTAGGAGTCGGTGTTGTTGATGTTGAAGGCGCGGATCTGGGACATGCCCGAGTCAATGTTCTGCGACATGGCGGCCAGGTTCTCGTTGCTGCCGCGAGAGATGACGAGGTAGCCGGGGCTGTGCTCGGAGACGAGGAGCGTCCGGGTGACGTGCTGGTTGCTGGTCATGTTGGTGACGACCACCTTGGCGTCGCCGTCAATGGTGCCCGTGGAGGGGTTGTACGCCCAGGCGTAGACGTTCTCGACGTCGGAGGCGTACAGGGTCCTTCCGTCGCGGGAGAGGGCCATGCCGTGGTTGAGCTGTGAATAGCCCGTCAGTCATTGCCGCCATTTGCATGCGCCTGGGCGCACATACCTTGTCGTTGTCGACGATGAGGTTGTTCTGGTCAACCTCGAGACAGGTGCTTCCATGGTCATTGAAGGTGACGTGACGAACACCAGCGCCTGCGTCGAGAATGAGCAGGGCGCCCTCGCTGTCGACCTCGATGGTCCTGGGCTTCACCAGGCCATTCATGATGAGCTGGGCCTGCCATCCAGCGCGAACTGCGGGGGCATCGTAGTCGGGCGACAGGATGGTGATGTCGCAGCTCTCCTGGCGCGGGGCGAGCGCGGCCAGGGCGGCGGCGGCAATCGGGCTGGTCTTCATCTTGGAGATTGCTGCTGGTCTCGAAGTTGATGCCGTCAAGGTAGCACGACTTTTCAGAGTCTTGAAGCGAGGGGCAGACGAGAAGGTCGGCCTCCCGGGTGTAGGGACGCTGGTCGCGGCGACCCCACCATTAAAGTACTAGGCGAGAGGGGCATCTGCTTTACCCCTCGGCGCAAGCTCGTCTCGCGTGCAGCATTTCCGGTGTGGATGGTGCTGTGCCCCTCCAAGACCCCGCTGGCTGGGCCAGGAGGTCGGAGAAGGGGGACTGGCACCGACGTCCGAAGATCATCGCGGCAAGGGTCACGGTGGGCGACCATAGGCCGATGGCGTGGTTGGCAGGTAGGGCACCAGGGTGCGCATCATCGGCGGTAGGATTCGAGCAGATGGACCACGGGCTTCGTGGGCTGGGACCGGCTGCGAATGGCGCGGGATACAGCCGGAACAGACGTCCACAGTGCGTTAGACCGCCAAGACGAGGGCAATCTTGGCCGTCACCCTCCCGCGTTTCGTTCCTCTTCAGCGATTGATGCGCTGGCCGGCTCGGCCTCTCTGATGTGGTTGTGTGCAAGCGAGGTAGCCGGTGGAAAACCCACGCCGCGCGGGGCAGAGGCCACTGAAGCGAGGCGCCGTCGCAAGGCCAAGCAACCGTCAGGCCGGAGCGGAACGCCGCCCAGATTCACCGTGAGGAAAGAGCGGTGGCGGCCACCGGCGGAAGACTGCGGGTGAGATTTCGCCAGGACCCCTGCCGCTTCGGCCTAGAGAAGACCATCTTGGAAGGCCGTCGAGCAGCGGGTTATCGGTTTTGGTACGATGATGGCGCCAGGGACCTGGGCGCGCTACTGACAGGATGGGCGGCGATGTGGAGAGGGGTTGTTGGTCTGGTCTGGCTCGGCGGTTGGTCTGGATGTCAGCGTCGGGGATTCCGACGATTGGTGGCGAGGAAGAACGCACCTGCTGGAAGGGAACATGTGGTTGTTGACTTCTTGAGTGATGCGTTTAGCCAAATATCGAAACGATCGCTGTGTGCGACGTGGTAACTCGTGGTTCAGCGCTCGTGGCGGACTGGAGGGGGACTGGGTTGACCAGACAAGGTGAAGACGTCCAGGCAGAGGAAACATCGAGGCTGTGGCGGGGCATTCAGGGCCTTCTGCAGGCGTTGGCCGTTGGATTTGGCGCTGGAACTGGGTGCACCTCACCGGAGGAAGGTCCCGTCCGCCCCTGGAGGGCCCACCGGGCGCCTTTCGAACTGGCGTGTCAACGGTCTAGAGCTGCTAACAGCCCCCCGTCTTTCGCTGGCAGAATTTTGGTGCGACCTGGAAAATGTTTGTTAAGGATGAGGGGTAGTATCGCCCACGTGCTTGGACTCTTGGGGCCCTTCCCAGTCCGGCAGGTGCGCAATTGCTTGCGGTTGGTTTCCTTTTTGCCATCTATCGCCAACAAGTCGGACTCACGATAGGTAGATGGGTCTACAAGGATCAGTCGGACGATCTGAGGAATCTCAGCTGAATTGGGCCTTTCTCCTCCCAGCCTTTTCTGAAATCCTACGATGGGTCCTTGATCTGACCGGTTCCCAAGGCATGGCATGACACCTCGAAACCTCGGCGCGCTCGACCCCGCGTGTTGTCCCTGTCGGTGTCGTCCTCTGTGCCTCTGTGACCTCTGTGATCTCAGCTTCCGTGGCGCAATGCATCCTGCAATAGCCAGCAATAGATGAATCGTATCAAGTGCTGCAAGACAGCATCATGCAACTCAACCCAATCTGACAACACCGACCGATGGGACTCGACAATCGCCATCCACGGCAGCCCACCAAGCTCGACGCCGCTGCAACTCGCCGTCCGGTAGTGCCACTTGCATCCACCTTGACGCATCCTGTCCCAGACCCAGCTTGTCTTCACCTGCCCACCATTGGCCCGAGAAAAGGACGCACGACGGACTTGTCGGCGGGGATGCGCATCTCGGCAGCGTAGCGCACCCGGATCGGACGAGAGCTTGAGCTCTTGGGACAAAGCCTGCAGCCAGCCCAGCCACCGGGCTGATGGCGAGCTGCAAGAGCCTGTGGGCCCCCCCTCTTCTACCCCTCCATTGCCCCTCCCCCCACGACATTCCGCGTCAACACGCTGACATCCAAATGATCGTGAAAAGTTCAGTGACCTTTCATCGTCGAAATTGTCGGGGATCAATCCGAGTCACAGTTCAATTTTTACCTTCTGCGCGTTGACAAATCGACCGACTGTCGGATAACAATGCTCGCAACACCAAAGACCCTGGCTGCGAGCCTCCTTCTCGCGGCGGCGCCCTTCTCATCCGCCTCGGCCATCGAGCCTCGACAGCAGCAGCCTCCCGGAAGGCCCTGGATCTCAATCGACTCTGCAAACGAGGCGCACACATTTACCCGCCATGTCACCACAGTGAACGGCGCGGCTTCGACAGTCGATGCTCAGCCATACTCCTTGACCAACACCGTCTTCACATACATCGCCTCCAACAGCGCGACCGTCACGAGTACCGGCAGCGCCCTCCCTCCTCGTGCCACCGACTCGAACGGCGGCAAGGGCTACTTCATCCAGTGCATGGGAGGCTCAGCCAGCAATGTCCAACCCTTCTGCCAGCCCCAGAACGGCGCCAAATTCTACGTCGACGTTCCCTACTACAGTATGCTGGCAGCCGCCCGGTCGGATGACAATGATACTGACACTCGACAGTCACATGGGACGACAAGACATTCGGCTCCGACCTAAACACGCCCGTCCACATCCAGCTCTTCCACCGCGACGCCGGAGGCCCTGCCGTCAACGACAGCTCGACAGGCACCCCTTACCTGACCCTTGGCCAGAACAATAAGACACCACTGAGCCAGGGCTACTACATCTGGAAGCCGAAAGCTGAGTTCCTCGGCAACAACGATGACTCCAGGCAATTCACCCTCCGCCTCGCTTTCAACTCGTCGACGGAAAACAAGATATCCTACCGCACCGGCGCGACTATCTCCCTCCTGCCCAAAGACCAGGAGCCCCAAGCGGTGCCAGCCACCGATAACAATGACAGCAACTCGGGCGGCGGAGGAGGTGGAGTTCCCGCAGCCGCAATCGCCGTCCCCATAGTCATCGTCGTGCTCCTCGCCGCCGCCATCGGTGCCTTCTTCCTCATCCGCAAGCGGAGACGCAGCCAGGTCGCCGCCGGCGTGCC